AAGGCCACTGAGAAGTCTCCAACGCTGATGGACCCAGCCGCTCCGGCAGCGGTGATGGGCCCTACGGTAGATGTTGCCGATGACAATTTGATCCAGACAGCGTTGACCTGGCCCAAAGCCGGTACCGCCAAGCAGTCGGTGGATCTTTCAAGGCTCGGTATAGACCAACTCAGAGGTCCTCACTACCCCTTCCCTCTTTCCTTGCCGGGCTCGAGCGCATCTGCTCCTGCACCCGCCAATGCTGAGAGCCTCCCTCTGAAGAGCCCCCTTGATGACGATGCGGGCTTTCAGCATTGGCTGAATGCAGGTCAACAGCACGTCATCGCACCGATATCTAACAGGACGAAGCGATTACTGGGGGATAGCCATCATGGCAGTGGCGCTGATGATCAACAGGAAACAAAAGGTCTAAAGTTACCCTCCGCGGCTGAACGTCGCATTTTGTTGCATCAATCAGGTGTTTACGATATTGCCTCGATCCCAGTCGACGATGGGATTCATTCTCAAGACCAGGGCCCTCGACTATTGGAGACTCGTCGCATCAATGGCAGTCACGACGACAATCTCGATGACAATCGATCGGCTGTGAGGGCACTTGCCCGCTATCCCACGAGCGGCTCCCATCCAACCGCGGCTCATCAGGGCGGCCTTATCAGTTCTCCTGCAAGCTTTGGCTCTGACCCTATTGCTTTCTCTTCTGTAACGACGAGTCAACCTCCCCTAGACGGCACACAGCGGTCGCTGCAAAATGGGCCCCATTCGGCAATATCGTTCCGTGGAACGCAAGAGATGGAACAATCTGGACAATGTAAATCATGCGCGATTTTCGTGCAGCTCTCTTTGAAGCACTGTCCTTACTACCCAACCCATTGCTCAAGGATGTTTCGGGCAAGGCAAGGCATAGCCAACCCGTGAGCAACACCCTGAAGCGGCAGTACAACTTGCGCGGAAGGTCTACGGCTCCAGAGAGCAGTCGCAGAGTACCTGCCAACGCAGAGTCTCTGAGTCCTATCGACGAGAATCGCAATGGGAGTGATGATAGCATTTCTGGTAGCGACGACGAGGACGGTCCTCTAATCGTCAAAAGCGGTAAAAGGAAGGTGCTTGCCAAGCGCCGCCGGTGGTCAGCGCTAGAGGAACGTCGGCTAAGAGCATGGAAGAGGGAGAACAAGTCGGAGTCCTGGATCGCTTCCAAGCTCAATCGGACGGCGTCGGCGGTCAAACAACAGTGGCGCAAAATGAGTGAGGAATAATAGTGTACCGCATTTGTAACTATTGAGGGTCAACTCGCTCCTCCTACTTACAGCATGATGGGATTGTCGTGAAAACGGGTTAACGATCTAGGTCCGAAGGTTACCTAATCGGGCTGACTCTAGCAAAGGTGACTGAGAAGGATGAATAATGTTGTTGTTAAGCGGTGGTATCGAACCTTCTAGATGACAACGTCATCTAGGCGGCCTGGGTGGCGACATCGCCACCACAAGGCAGCCACAGGTGACAGAACTATAAGAAGTCACTTTTTGTTAGGGAGGAGGAAGGAAAAAAAGGACAAGCAACTTAATCAATTCATCACTTGCACCCTCTCTTCGCGAGAGTTATGAGCCCGGAGAAACAGTGTTTCTGTAACTTCCGGCTGCTGCATTCTTCCACAGCCGTTCTCGATTGAACTTATCGTCGATTAAGACACCTTATGCCCCCTTTCTCACTCCTTAATCCTTCTTTCTGCTTCAACCAAGATGTCGAAGGACACCATCCAGCGCACGATTCTTACGGAGCCTCAGGATTGGGATAAGTGGCTAAAGGAGCTTCGGGCCCGTGTGGACAAGACCATCCACAAGCTCATCTTCGAACATGACAAGACCCCCCTTGAACTACCTGAACGCCCCGAATTCAGTGATTTCAACGCTGAGGCTGAAAGATTTGCTGATCTGAATGCAGGCCAGCAGAAGGCTTATTCTGAAGCATCGAGGGATTACGAAGGTCGCCGAAAGGAATACCTCTACGAGACGAGGCTCGTCACAGCAGCCCGTACGACGATTACGGAAACGATTAGCAAAGCGAAGCTGACCTCCCTTCACGACGATGAGACTCTTCGCGAGTGGTTTGTAAAGCTCGAGGCCTCGACAGCCCCAACGAGGGGCTATATGATGGAACGTATCCGAGCCCAGTATACGATCCATCTTCGAGCTTTTCCGACGAAGAATATCTCTACCTGGCTCGCTAGATGGGAGGAAATCATGGGAGAAGCTGAACAGTACTTCCTCGTGGAGGCTGTGACTGGCCAATGGCTGCGAGACATAGCTAGCCTGATTAAGCCCCTTTCCGACGGCTTTTCGGCTATATTTATCCGCGGAAGCAAGAGGCTGACGAAGCCGCCGCCATCCAGTTCAAGATCTATCAAGCACATAGGCCAGGGCTTCATCGAGAACCTCCAAAGCGACAAAAACAATACCTAGAAGAAAGATGGACCTATCAGGAAGCAGCTCGCCAGATCAGGAAATCGTCGAATTGAACCAATAACGGCCCCTGGAACGGTCAAAGAGGAGCCGGCTTTCAGGCCAGTCCGAAAGAAGATTCCACGCCACGGAAGAAGAGGAAGGAAGCATCTGACAAAGACCGTTGCCCAGCGTGTGGTCTTGACAGTCACGAGCTTGAGGGTTGCTGGCAAGTCTTCGAGGAATTGCGGCCAGGCCATTTCAATCGATCTGAAAGGCTATGCAAGAAAGCCCAGAAAGCTGTCGAGGATAGTCCCGACCTACGGAAGAAGGTTGAAGATATCCGGGCAAGCCAGAAAGATTGGAAATAGCAACCAGCGACCCGGGTTCGAGGAAGGATGGTTGGAACGGCCAATCCGGCTTTCGTCTACCCAGCCGGGTCATCGGTGGCAGTGTCGGAATACCCGCTCCGCCTATCCGCGATCCTTGACTCAGGAGCTTCCCTTCACGTGTGTAACACACTCAGCCGATTCCGGTCATTCAGAAAGGCCCAGAAAGACTACCTAATCACAGGGAATCAGAAGTCCGGATTGAGGGGTACGGCAGGGTTAATTTCACGATGACCTTACCGGACGGATCATTCCAAATACTTCGGCTTAAAAAGGTAGCTTACTGCCCAAGCTTTTCAACGAGCCTGATTTCCTTCCAAGCCCTACGAGATGAAGGAATCTATTGGGACACCTTCTCGGAGCCTACGAGGCTAGTACGGCGGAATCAAACGATTGGGATTCTTCAAAGGAGATACCAACAATTCGTCCTGGAGTTCAGGCCAACAGCAGAAGCGGAGACCGTCAATTTCGACACAGTCTTCCAAGCAACAAAACCTCGAAGGGCCGGGACCAAAGACCCTCGCCCGGCCAGCCAAGGAGACGGCAACCTCTGGCACGCCCGCCTCGGTCACCCGGGCCCACTGGCCCTCCACAAGCTAGGCCTTCGGAACGGGGTTCGAATCAAGGGCCAAAGACTGTGGAGTGCGAATTCTGTGCTCAGGGAAGGCCAGGAAACAAATTTCCCGAGACCCCTGACCGGGAAAGAAATCGCCCTTGTCACGAGATTTGGATCGACTGGACCGACCTTTCTGCAGACCACGAAGACTTCGTCCGTGTGATGTTTATCACAGACGCCTTTACAGGAATGGTTTTCCCTATTTTATGCGGACCTACCAAGAGAAGCATAATTGGGCTGTGTTGAGGGATTTTGTCCATTGGATGAAAGACCGATACGGCTTCGAAGTGAAGATCGTACGCTCAGATGGGGAGCTCTTTACGAAGAAGATCACAGCATGGTTACGAAAGAAGGGCATTTCAGCGGAAAGATCGGCTTCAAACACCCAATCCCAGAATGGAGGGCCGAAAGATCGGGAGGCCTTTCTATAGAAAGAGGCAGGGTGATGAGAATCGCTTCAAGGCTCCTAACCTCTGGAAAGAGATCGTGGAAGCCGCATGTTATCTTCGAAATCGAACTCCAAGAGAGCCGAGGGTCCAAATCAACGCCGGGTCCGACGCTCCGGAGCCCGACGCGAAGCCAGGGGCCGAAGAAGAACTTGAATGGAAGTCCCCGATCGAGCTGTTCACAGGCAAGAATGCCCAACTGTCACATCTTCGGGCTTACGGTTGCAGGGCCTACGCGATGACTGCAAACGCCCAATTGAAAAGGGACAAACTGCGGAAGCTTGACCCGAGGGCTCACATTGGGTATCTAGTCGGTTATAATTCTACGAATATCTTCCGGATCTGGATTCCATATCTTAAGAGGGTTGTCTCGACAAGAGACGTTGTTTTCGACGAACATACCTTCTTCGACGGAAAGCTCGAGCAACAATCGCTGCTATCAGGCATCGAAGAGCTTATCCAGAAGATAGAGATCCCGGAGGATCAGAGAGGTAACCAAGAAGCTCTCGATGAAGAAACCGATGAAGAAACCGATATCGAAGACCTCGACGCAGAAAGCACTGCAGGAAGCACGATCGTCGTAATGACCCAAGAAGAAGAAGACCGAAGCGAAGAACAGGAAAAGGAAGACTACGAGAAGGCTAGAGCTCTCGAAGAAGCTGGCCTTCTTACGCCTCCCACAACAGCGGATCCAGAAGACGAACCAGAGGCAGTCTTTTCAGTCCATCTTCCTGTCGCTACCCCTGAGGGGGTGGGGGGAAAAGCCGCACTCCGTGAGGGTGGAAAAACCTCACTTTCCGGCCAATCCTACAGCGGCTGTTTTTTCGGCCCTGCTCTGCAAAGCCAAGGAAGCGTCTGATCAGACAGGGATAGGACAGGAAGACCCGTTTTCGACCGATTGGACCGATTTTCGGACTTTAATCCTACGCCCATCCAAGACGGATGCCGCGGAGCATTTACAGCAGGGAGGCTCTTCAGGCCACAAAAGAAGCCCACCAAGGTCCACAAGAGAGATCTCCCGGATCCCCCAGAAACCCAGAAACAACTCGAGAATCACCCTTATAGGGAGGAATTCGCCCAAGCCCAACAAGATCATCTTGCCTCACATGAGGAAATGGGCTCCTTTGAAGAGATTTCTTGGAAAAGGGTTGCCGGCCACCAGGTTCTCGGATGCAAGTGGGTATTCATCTATAAGACAGATAAGCACGGACTTCTTCAGAAGTGCAAAGCCCGGCTTGTCGTTTGCGGCAACCAACAGAAAAGGGGGGACCTTCCGACCCGGTCCACAACCTTAGCCGGGATGTCTTTTCGGACCCTCATGGCCATTGCCGCCGAGTATGACCTCGAGCTTGATCAGATGGATGCTGTCAACGCATTTGTCAATTGCCCCCTTGAAGAGGAAGAAATCGTCTTTATGAGGATGCCGCCGGGCTTCCAGAAACCCGGAAAGGTGCTACGGCTTCGGAAAGCTCTCTACGGTCTACGCCGATCCCCTTCTTTGGCAACAGCACCTCACAGGCTCCTCGAAGAGCTGGGGTTCAAGAAAGTCCCTCAGGAACCCTGTGTGATGATGAAGGGTGCCGTGACCGTCTTTTCTACGTGGACGACATGATCTGGGCCTACCGAAAGGAAGATGAAGGCTTAGCTAAGGAAGCCATACAAAGGCTCGAAGAACGCTATAAAATGAGCTTCCTAGGGAACCTAAATGGTTTCTAGGGATACACATCCTCCGGGATCGGCCCCATCGAACGATCTGGCTGACCCAGGATTCGTATATCGACAAGATAGCTCATAAGTACGTTCCCGAAAGCCTAGGCCCTTCGAAGCTCCCAGACACTCCGATGGTCACGAACGAAGAGCTCCTTCCGGCTTCTAGCCAAGCAAACCAAAGGGAGATACATCAATATCTCCAGAAGGTCGGATCTGTGCTCTTTTCAGCCATTTCCACGAGGCCGGATATTGCATTTGCAGTCTCCCGGCTAGCCCGCCACAACTAGAACCCGGACGAATCGCACCAACGAGCCGTAGACAGAGTCATCCTTTATCTCTACGGCACGCGTTCGTACGGCATAAGGCTTGGGGGCTCAAAGAAAGTCGAACTGTTTCTTTTGTTCGAGTGATGCATCATTTGCAGACAATTCTCTCGACAGAAAGAGCTCTCAAGGCTACGTTATGACCCTATTTAGGGGAACCATTGCGTGGAAAGCCTCGAAGCAAGCCACAGTCACAACGTCGAGCACAGAGGCAGAGCTCTAGCTCTTTCAGAAGCCTCAAAAGAAGCAATCTTCTTAAGCCGGTTGTTGACGTCTTTACGGATTCAGATCCTTGCCGTTGCTAGTAGAGTGTGATAACTCGCAGACAATCAGGCTCCTCGAAGAAGGAAGCGCGAAGCTATCTACAAGGCTAAGGCATGTCGATATCCATCAACACTGGCTACGTCAGGAATGCCAGGAAGGCCGAATCCGGGTCCGTTGGGTCCCCACGGCACATATGAGAGCCGATGGCTTGACCAAAGCTCTGCCAAAGCAGAAACTCTTCGAGTTCCAAAGGATGATTGGGCTCGAAGATCTCACGGAGCGGCTACGCCTAGAGGCCCGGTTAGAAGACCTCCGAGACCAGATCAAAGACCATAGGAAGCCTATGCCGCCCGGAAGGTAAAGCATTCGTATCTCCTATTCACACCGGTCGATCGGCCCTTCGATCGTTGCCCTTTAAAAGGCTGTTTAGCTACACCCGATCGGGATAGGCTATAGCTAAGGGGGTGTGTCGTGAAAACGGGTTAACGATCTAGGTCCGAAGGTTACCTAATCGGGCTGACTCTAGCAAAGGTGACTGAGAAGGATGAATAATGTTGTTGTTAAGCGGTGGTATCGAACCTTCTAGATGACAACGTCATCTAGGCGGCCTGGTGGCGACATCGCCACCACAAGGCAGCCACAGGTGACAGAACTATAAGAAGTCACTTTTGTTAGGGAGGAGGAAGGAAAAAGGACAAGCAACTTAATCAATTCATCACTTGCACCCTCTCTTCGCGAGAGGATAACATGGACAAATATTCATAGGGCGAACCAAGTAGTATTTTATAAAGCTACTTAAAGCACGCTCCTATCTTACCTCTTCCCGACAAAGCCGTCGTGCAGCCAATCTCGAGCACGAAAAGAGCTGGCAGCGAGAATCCCCCGAAGCTTCAGCATCATCCTTCGATATATCTCACCTACACAACACAGCAACCAGAATCTACCCCTCGGACCTCGGAAATTCACCTGCACATGCATTTTCCTGAGCACAGCCTGGGCTCCCTCGAAGCACCCTGAGCCGCCCTGAGCCGGTCCTGAGCCGGTCCTGAGCCGCCCTGGGCTGCCCTGATGACCTGAGCTGCCCTGAGCTGCCCTGAGCTGCCCTGAGCTGCCCTGAGCTGCCGGATCAGCACCTGAGGCCCTGGGCTGCCCTGAGTTGCCAGTAAACAGCGACAGGCTTTACCCAGCTTGCGTGCAGGGTATCGACTAAACCATTTATGACTAAGTTGCCACCATTTCTAGGACACTGATTTCACTCGTTCCCACGCCCAGTACTGAGCGGCTGAACATTATTGTTGCACTCAGGATACGTACCATTTGTACTTGACACATCACGGATCCTGTAACAGGACTATTTCCCTTTGCTTAAGCCACTACCCCTTTTCTTATGCATATCTGCAATCTGTCCTCATTAGTTTATGCGTCGTTCCCTGAACTCTTCTACTCTCCTTGAGTCATAAATAGGGTTCTTGCTCACTCCTTCTTAGATAGAACAGACGAACCTCAATTTACATGTTGACCCTTACCTTTCCAAATTACTTCCCTGCGAGAATCTGGGTCGGGGAGTTCGCGGCGGCTGGGTTGCCGGGGCCTGGTGTGTGTTTACTGTACATACTCACAAAGTTGCAGCATCGCTGACCAGAGACCATCATCCTTGGCGCGAGGCGCAGCAAACGGCGCCTATCAATTCTCCTTCTTCGATAGATTACCGGAGCTACGCTACTATATCATGCCCAAATACGTCCTAGGTGTGCAGCCATATTATCCCTGCAGTATAATATCTTGCGGAACGAGGCTAGGGAAGTAGAAGTGCATTTTGGCTGCAGTGTCGCGACTTGCAGAACGATGACATCTAAGCTGCCTGTGATGCAGGGGCGTGTCACGCTGCCATACATACTAGGGGGGGCTCAAAGTCCGCCAATCCCCGTGACTGTGGATGGCCGACTTTGAGGCCCCCGTAGTATGTACCACGGTATACCATAGAGTCTGACGGTCCGCCTGGAGTATGGCGCAGGGCAAGGCTCTGGGAGCTGCGCAGCGCCAATCGGCCGCAGCGTCCAAGCCCAGGAGTTGTGTGGTCGTGGATAAACTGTGCGAAATAGGGGCCAGACTGTTGGAGGCCGGTATTCCCTGTGTGTGACAAACCTCATTGGGCCCCCTGGCTACACGCGGCCGGTTGCGCACGTGAAGCTGCGTATGCAGCTCTCGATGTGTGCAGCAGCGAGTACGAGACTGGCCGCCTGCGGCGACACGCAGGTGCCAGCATGTGAGGAAGATCTCCAGCACACACACCGAAGGACACAGACAAATTCGCACTCGCCAGCAAAATCGCACACCAACATTCCTACGTTCAACTGCTAATGCAGAAGCTCCCATTGAGCAATTTTGCGCAGTGGAAGCGGCACCTAGGGACAGGACCGTCCGGACGAAGTCGGGGCTGGCCCTGCGCGAAGCAGAGATTCTGCGGACGATCCTAGGATGCCAGATGTATTGTTATGTGGGTGTGAGAATCACAAAGAAACATAGGGGCATGTATGTTAGGAGTCTGGTGATGCCCTCATGGGGCTCGTCGTGCTCGCGGTGTTGTGATGGGCTCGGCCCGTTATTAGTCCGACCCATTTGGTTAGTCAGCCTTCTCTGCGCCCTAGCCCTTAAGGCTAGGGACGCACACACAGCTCCTGCTGTGATTATTCTTATGCTTTCCTCCCATTTTTCCACAGTTGTAAAGCGTGCAAAGCTTACCTATCTTGTTCGAATGATTTAGTATCATCTCTGTAGCACCGCATAACCTTAGATTGCTCGTCTGCCAACTCACAACCAAAAGTTTTCAACATGGGACAGACGTTTAAGGTTAAGCTTCTGGCCCTCACGCCAGGCTAGCCAAGGAATATTGGAGGCAATGGAGAAATACTTTTTCACGGCTCCGCCAAGGCCCTCGTCAAGCTGCTCGCCGTCCCCGTTAGGCACACGATTGACCTGAAGCAAGCCCCAGTTGAGCCTCGGGCTGCATCACAAGGTGGCCTTTCCCCTGCCAGCGAGGTGACGGCAACCGTAGCCGTCAAACGCAAAGCTGACGCCGAACCATCGAAAAGCCCTCCGCGACTTCGGAAGAAGACAAAGTGCGGAAGCCACGCGCCGAATTCTCAACCGGCCACCTTGTCTGGCCTCCCTACCGAACTCCATCAACTCATATTCTTTCATATTGAGTACATTGAAGATGTTGTCAGCCTCGGATTTGTTAATCAGCGCCTCTACGATATCGCTCGAGAAGAGACCGAACAAGATACTGACCGCGAGGCCGAGGCAAAAGCACCATGGCGACATCAGCGCATTATTGCAACGCATCTGCTGGTGACTAGGGCGGGACAAGAACGGCGTGACGTTGTGGAATTTCTTCCACACCCAGTGCACCAGTGAACTGTATCGTTGAGCCCCCCCCTGGATACACGCAGCCGGTTGCGCACGTGAAGCTGCGTATGCAGCTCTCGAAGTGTGCAGCAGCGAGTGCGAGACTGGCCGCCTGCGACGACACGCAGGTGCCAGCATGTGAGGAAGATCTCCAGCACACACACCGAAGGACACAAACGAATTCGCACTCGCCAGCATAATCGCACACCAACATTCCTATGTCCGATTGCTGAAGCAGAAGCTCCCATGCCCATACTAACCCTTTCTTCTGTACTTTCTCGTTTGCTCTTCCTCGACGCCCATAATCCTCACTTTCCTGGCTGTGGTAGCAGCCTGGGATACGTCCCCTCAACACAATTGTGTTAGCCCCGCCCATCGTAGCCTTTTCGAAGCAGTTCTTGGGCGCTAGATTATTTCCATGCACATCATACAGGCAGAAGTTCTTCCTTACATACTTCCCCGCGAGCCGACGCACTGGTGATGGATCAGCAGGATCAACATCTAGAGTATCGACAACTTTCAACATGCCGCTCTGCTCGAGCAACTTGAACTCGATGCGAATGGTCTCTGGCAGGATGCCCCCGTCTTCTGCGCTTGCCATTCCCGTCCAAAGGCCGGACGGCGCGTCCTCAAGGAGCCTCCCGAAGGAAAACCGCGTTCGTCTGTTGGCCCGTCTTGATGCCACATTCATTCCCTTGGGGACTTGCTGGTTCTCGGTCCGTAACCTTTCATTCCCCCCGAGTTCCTCGGCCTCAGAGACGGGGTCATCCCGTAGCGCAAGAGCCATTTCTGTGCGCTGTCTCTCTTCTTCCTCCTGCACCCTTTTTGTCAAGCGATCCAGTTTGTTCTGTTGCTCCTGCTGCGTTTCTTCCAACTGTCGCAGCTTTGCGTGGTGTTCCTCCTCTCGTCTAGCGAGTAGTCCCAACAATGCTTCCTCCTCCTCGATCTTGGCGTGTAGTTCGTCCTCTTTCCCTGCGAGTAGTCCCAACAATGTTTCCTTGTCCTCGATCCTGGCGTGTTGTTCCTCATCTTGTCTAGCGAGCAGTCTCAGCAGCCTTTCCTTCTCCTCGATCTTGCTCTGCTCTGCGGCAAGCAGAATTTTGAGCTGAGCTAACTTTGTCTGCTCATTCTCAATGTCTCGCTGTAACTGTTGCAGCTTGGACCTATGGTCATCTACTCGATGCGAGTCGTCCTGTGGCGCGTCCAGCTCCATGTCAAGGGCACGTACAATAAGGGCCCTGCTCAACTCCACACGATTTGAGATCTCCAACGGTGAGGATGGCTGGTCAGGCATGGACAGATCTAGATTTGTCGTTTCGCGGACTGCAAGGCAGCCCTCGGTCGATGGAGGTAGTCCAAAGTAGGCCCAATACACCGACCTTCTGATGAACAACGAGCCCAGCTCTGTTTGATTCGATTCTGCTGCTTCGCCCAGCTTCGAAAGGAACAGCCGGGCTTTATCGCGTTCGTGATCCAGATGGTGGGGTATTCCGTATCGGTTTGGAGGTTGCACACGCACGGTAGTAGTATCCGCATGCTCCGATGCTTCAGCGTCAGACATTGGAACGGCCGTTGCGAATACGTCAACCACTTGTTGGATGCGCTGCTCGCGATTTGCGTACTGGAATCGCCCTGGCTTCCGAGCCGCGAGCAGTGCGTGTTCGGCGATGGCCCTGTCCGGTGACGCCTGCAATATCTTTCTCACTTTTTCCGACTCGAATCCAAGTCGCGAAGCAAGCGAGGCGAGGTCATAAAGTGCGCTTTCGTCTGGTTTCATTCGCGCTTTCGCCAAGCGTTCTTTCTTTCGCGCGTCGGTCGGCAGGTCTTGGTACATGCGGAATGCGGCCAGCCAGAGCTGCCGCATCCCCAAGTCAATTCTCAGCGCGACGTCTCCTGCAACAGTTCCAAAGCTCCCGTCCGAGATCTGAATCACGCATCGCTCCGCTCTCTTGGTTGACGTCTGTAAACATGTCTTCCAGGCGGCCTGCAATCGTATCTCGTGGTCCTGTATCCACGATTTTCTTCATGCACTCCGCAGCACATGCAAGAAACTTGCGGTCTTCGAAAAAAGGTGAACAATGACGGGATCAACTGTGTGCGAGATGTGCTGCAGACTTTGGGCCACATCGCCTCGCGCTGCAGCTCTGAAAAGTTGCCAAATATTTGCCCGCTTTTCAATCTCGCAACCAAGTCATCGTGATCTGTCCTGCAGGCTCCAGGAGCCCTACCCTGCAGAGCCTCGACGGTCGCACTGTCAATTTGGCACATGGTCTCGTGGCTGCCGCCGCAAAGTCCGCTCCACCATTTGCGGATATTCCTAAGGTAGACAATATTTGGCTATGTAGTGTTAGCTCCAATCCGATGAATGGTTCGTTGCTGTATCACCTCGTCACATTTCATCGGGATCATCTGGTGCACTACGCTAAGTCGCATCCCTCCCATCAGCGCCGGGATTTCCAGCAAGTCATCGAAGGCTGCGGCATACTTGCGGTGCCGACAAAGTTGGTCAAAGTTTTTCCGGCGGTTTTCCGACACCGCCAGCCGTCCCAGCCACAACCTCTCGAAGAAGTCGTTCTCTTGGCCGCCAATGCCTTGGTACTCCCGGATTTTGCGATACAACTCGCCATCGCTAGGGGCTTTCTGGTGGTCGTAGTCTTCAAGGAGCATCCGCTTCAGGTCGTCACTTAGGTCTGCTCCACGTCAGCATGGCACACGTCATCCACTTGATGACGAACCGTCGAGGAAGAGGTCCACCACCCAACGCTTGTTCGCGCCATCGAGGACGTCATCAGCCGCCGTAAGACGGTCACAACCCTGCACACATTCCAACTTGACTTCAGGGGGTAAATCAAGCTGCGGATAGGCAAAGTGTCAGCCCCCAGTCTCGCGACCGTAAGTTCCGTGCCAGCCAATGCCGCTTCTAGGTCTCGCTGGCTAATGATAGCCTTCGCATGATGGCGGATATCCTCCTGACGACAGCCACGTTCCTCCCGGAATATTCTCTTGAGCGAATCGGCATTTTTTTTGTGCGAACCCGCTTCCGTCTGCATCCGATTCCGGAACTGCAAAGAGGATACCCTGATGCTGGCCGTTCCGCAGTATTTTGCTCGTCGTTCGTCCTCGAGACGACGGTTCGCCTCTACGAAGGTGTTCCTGGCCATTGCGATTATGAGAAAAGGGAACTGCGGGGCGTCGAGCTCGCTGGCCTTGTGAGAGCCAAGAACGTTAAATGCTCTGAGTCACAGGCAAAAGACGGACGAAGAGGATAGCAACAGCCATTTGTGGCCCTCCAAGCCTGGCGCGCATCTCCGCCTTTAATCGCCCCCAACATCTTCACTTCCGAGCTCGACAGCCTCCATCAAATACTGTATTTTCATCAACTGCGCATGGAAATGGATAGCAGAAACATGGCTTCGAAGCCGCCCAACCGGCTACACAAACCACGTCCCCAGGGACACGCAGTAGATCCATCGGCCCGGGTCGAATATCTGAGGACTGTGGAGGCAATTCGAGACAGCAAGCGAGCGATGGAGACGATACCAATAAAGACGTGCCCGCCATGGGACACCTATGAGATCATCTACGCTCTGCACCTTGGAGACAACGGCCCCGTGGTCGTTGCAGAAAGAATTGGAATATCGTTCGACGTCGTCGACATTGGGTGCTTTGCGGCACTTGGGGACGATCAGATAGGAATGCTGAAGACCATTCAACATCCGAATTTCGTCACGGTGCACGAGATATACCGCATGGAAGACAACTGTTATGTAGCGTACGAGCATATGCCCCGATCTCTGGAAGAAGTAGCGGGAAACCCTTATCTCAACAGTGACAGGCTTGCCGCTATTGTAGGACAAGTATAACAACCGGTCTCAGCTTCGAGTACAGTAAAGGCCGCTAACTCGCAGCAGATCGTTACAGCATTGGGATATCTCGAACAGAAAGGACTGCAACACGGGCATCTGACTACTTCTCGAATCCTTCTGCACCCCAGTGGCAAAGTCAAGCTCGGTAGTGCATCCTTGTCCCTGGATGCGAAACACGACGCTAATGAGAACGCTCCAGGCAACCAGGAAGATTGCACGGTGAAGGTTTCGACCAAAGACATTAGAGATGTCGGATTCATTATGATGGAGTTAATGGAAGGCGACGCCAAGGATGGCACGACCATCGGTCTCGATAATCCTGATCGCTGGCACGAGAATGCCGTCGGGTTTCTCAGCGCAACAACATCGGCGTCGTCCGTCCGAGAGCTGCTCGAGGTACCGTACGCCCTTTGAGTTTCCTTAATTCAAGTACTGACTTGCTTCAGCACCCATTCCTTCGTTCATGGCAGAAGGAGAGGCTCAAAGGATTAACGTCGTTCGTGATGGCTTGGACCAGACCAGACTACGAGTATCTAGGGTGGCGAAACAAGCAGTAGCGCCTTTACAAGTGGATATGCCATATAAGAAAATAGGTTGCTTGTGATCTCTTTGTTACTGCTATAGCTATTCGTCTGGCTGGTAGTCCAGCTCTACCATCTCCACCTCTTTGGCTATATACCCTTGCACGACATCTTGCATTTTGATCCTGATTCCCGACGATGCAGAAACTACGCGTGTTAGCGGCGCCATCGTGGGAAACACTGAATTCTTACCTGTTACGATCATATTCTCTCTAGTCTTGGCTTCTTCTTGAACCCTCTTGATATGCTTTCCTGCTACCTCCTCCCTGACGATGGTGTCCCAATCCGGGACACCTTTGATGACGTTGGCGCGGGGACTTATTTTGTCATCTCGTTTCGCGTGCTCGACGTAAACCGATATCTGCAGTATCTTTGTCTACGGTGAGCAGACACTCCATTAGCGACGCACGTACACTCACATAACCATCATCCAGGGTGTCATCATCCAGAGCATTGTTGAGCAGCCGCTCGATTGCGAGGGGTAGTTCTAGATCTGTGAGAAGGCACGCTTGCACGCTCTAGTGCATAGTTCTCTACTCACCAAATGTCTTCAGTTTCCACACCAGATGGATCCTGCGCGTGCGTATTCTGCGACTATTGTACCCATGTAAGAGTTGTTTCAGATACGGCAGCTGGGCCGCTATGCCAAACCCGCTCGCAATCATCAAAACGACTCCGTACTCGCCAACCGGAACACTTATTCCGTACGGCCCGGTGAACATGGCTGGACAAGTAGAGTGCGGGTCTTTGCTGCTGCGAGCGAGAAGCTGCTGCGTGAGTCCCCGTCGAGGTTCAATAAGGAGGTCCAGGGAGGACTGAGGAGCGTCAGACCAAGATGCTATTACAAAAGGGTGGCTCTGAAACAGGGATCGAAAGCTCGTCGCTGGCATAAAAAGGCAGAGATTTATCTGCTGTCCGGCCTTTACAAGAAGCGGCCGTGACAAGGCTACAGTCACGATTATGGCGCCACGGGACTGCGTAATTGTAGCCCTGGGGAAGCCGCGGGACAAGACTGCATTTCGACGGAGCATCAGGAAGCCAATCCAGAGACCGGACAATCCACAGATGCCCAGGAGAGTAGAGATAGATGCGTGGGAGCAGCGGTTCATTGGTTAGATGCGTCCAGAGCCCGTAAACTAGCAGGATCGCCAGACCTTGGTGAAGACGCAGGAACAATTCGTACCACTTCCTCTTGAAGAATGGACCAGACAAGAGAAGTGCGCCCAGTGAAGACGAAGACTTGAATTCAACCAGTCAGAATATATGCAACGCGCCAGACATGGTTCTTCAACCAGATCACTCACTACAAGACCCCAGAGATTCTCCGGCTTATCCAAAGGAAACGGGTGACGATCAACCTGGACGCAAACTATGTGAAATACAAGTAGCAGCGAGGCCATCACACCAACTGAAGCATGCAGACGACGCACAGAGCGCCATCTCAGTCCCAGTGCATTTGACAGGAGTCAAGGTGCGGCGACGCGAACAGGAGCACCATGTGTATCAGGGAAAGGTTGGCTGCGCGCAGTCCTGCCGAGGCGATATCGTGACTATTGAAGCAAAGGCAGAAGATCGTCGCGGTCAGGTAGACAAGCCGTGTCAATATGTCCGCGCGGCTCCAATCTACGAGGATTCGGCTTCCGAGAGCCGGACGGTAGACAAGATGCTTTAAAACGGGGACGCGGATGAGGTCTCGAACCTTGCTCAGCTCTGAGCGGAAATGGACACAGGCAATGAATAATAACGCTGCACACAAAGCGAGCGAATACGCCACGACAATATTGGAACCGATGTCATGCATTGCGGCGTGATATGCGGAAGGAATGGCGGCCAGAGGAGAGAGGGGCACAGGGTTCTATTTATGCAACAGCGCTCGGCAGGCCTAACTATTGGCCGGACTCTGCTAAACCTAAAGTGGTGGCTGCTTGCAGCAAGCGATCGCAAGCCGCAACATGACAATTGCTACGGTATGTCGCCTCTCGCAACGAGTGGGCATGGAAGCGATCACAAAGGTCACCGGGGAAGATCCTCAGATAGAGCCGTGAACGATCAAGCTGAGCCATGAAACTTGATTCCTGAGGTTCAGATTGTCAGTGTTTAATGATCGAACTGTCCTCCGAGCTGGTCCAAATTCACAGTCCGGTCCGTAGAACGTCCTCCAATTCCGCTGGCAGCTTTTCCAGTCGAAATCGAGAGTTCTAGCGAAGTGTCGGCTTAGGGCTACTCCAGCCCTTCCGATCATCGATGGCGCTTTGCTGTAAAGTCGACAAACAGTCGAGTCCGGAGGGTGAGCCCAGGTGGCTTGCGTTCCATAACATGACACCAGGGTGAGCATAGACTAGACCTCCAAAATTGAGCCAATCATGTGGTGGGGATGACACTCCGCTAAATGAGTTGGCGTAATTGGGCGTGCTGAGCTGGACACCCTGGCAAATAGTGAACGCGCTACCTAGCGCCTTGTGGGGCTCAAAGTGTACACGAGTGCTACTGCAGATTTTTGCAAGGCAGAACAGGCTTACAAAAAACCGCGGCCTATTTGACACATGATTGCCAATAAACAGCCATTTCCAGCTAAGCGCCAAGTAGCTTGAGGTACCCTCCCACTCATGACAGGGTAGCCCGTGATGGGTCATTGATCATCTCTATCAGACCAGGTGTGGAAGATGCGACTTTTGGCTTTGTCTCCTACAGTCAAATGATGGCCATATGGTCCCCGTTGCACGCGTGGAAGAGTTGGTAAGTTAGAGCTAGAGCCAGATTGAGGCGACGACGGCCTGACCTTACAATCTGGCGCAGACAGCATCCATGAACTGTCAGCGTATGTGAATGTTAGACGCTGACCCCTGGTGAGTCCAAGCTTGAGAAGTCACTGCAATCTTATCGATGTGGAAGATAGCAGCGAACGATGACTGAGCGTGCTGCCAGGCAGGCGACGCAGAGGCGGGAATGCAGGTCCGATTTGGCCTATCAACCTCTTATTCTGCGGCGGGCAGAGAGTGGGCAACACGGCTGACGCTGAACAAAACGCAGTCGATCGCTTTCTCAATTATATGCCGCCAGCTCGATTTGATGCGACAAACCGACGGAGGCGATGTCGGCCAGCTCTGCCAGTTCGTCGGCGGCGAGGGCGGGACCGGCAAGTCGCAAATCATCGAGGCACTCGTCGAGTTGTTCAGTAGGAGGAGCCTTTCGAATCGCCTGCTGATCACGGCGACGTCGGGGACTGCCGCAGCGCGGATCAACAGTAGCACGATCCACTCCACCTGCAGGTTCTCCAAAGACCAAGGGGCGGCCGTGAACACGGCCAGAGATCTGGACGAGGACTGCCAAGCAAGCGGATCGGTTCGCCCATGACCAATTTCGGATAGATTGGCAGGAGAAAGACGCGCTGGTCATACCATGCGGAATCTTCGTCAGAACGTGTTTCCATGTTATACCGGTACGCTGGTCTGTGTGCGGAAAATTGTTGCAACCCCGCGGTAGAGTGATGGTGAAGTCAAGTGGTTGGCGGAGGGCTGGCATGACCAGATTACCAAGTGTTGTAGAGACGAGTTGCGGGGAACGGGCTGGGCGAGGAAACTCGGGTGTCACTCCTAGACCCTTCCGCTGCTGCCTGGTGGGGACAGCAATGTTACCAGACGGAAGCTCACTTTCTGGCCGCAGTAAAGACGATTTTGCTTATCATGAAGGGTTGCAGCCCATGCAGCCCAGTACTACCAAGCAGCCAGAAGCGAGGGTGCTGTCAGTCTCCCAAGACGAGGACTTGCTGCACTGTTGTGAAGCCAGAATCGGCCGCAGGTACGGTTTAACGGGAACCCAGGCACCCATGATGGGCGGAAGGGTCTAGGAGCGACACCCCGCGTTTTCTGTACCCAACCTTCTCCCCCGAACTTCTCTTGTGCGACAGCTGGTAATTTGACACGTTCAAAGGCTCGTACCGGCGGCACAATCACAACCACGGCCAGCCATGCCCCGGCGAGCAGAGTCCCCCTACCTGGCCGACCCTGCCAGAAGTATCGCTTCCCAGAAAATGAGGCAATAAACAACGACAATAACGACAACTTCGAAAGCGGTGTCGATACTAAGGCTGACAACCTGATGGCTCGGCCCCGTCTAACCTTGAAAGCACTCGCAGGGCGACGGCCTCGAACCGGCAAGCGGCAAAAATGGCCACTTACGAGGAGGTGTCAGACACTGACAGCCTCAGTGGCGCCGAAGGTGCAAACCCCTACATTATCCGACCAGCCAGTCACCCACAGCACTAAAGAAACTCTAGACGACGCTTCAAACGTCAACGAACGAGCTAAACGAGGCATTCATCTGCGAAAGCAAGGAATCGCGACAAGGTTTTTAGAATACGAAAGGAGGAGATCAGACAGGTTCGGGAGCGAGTCGAAGCCTTGACCACAGCGGCGACCTCGACTCAGAGCATCCCCGAGACTTCTTATGAACACATCGCCCAGACACTGCCCTCGAGTTCACCAACCAAGACGTGCAACGTGATCTCGATACAGGCAATAAGCTTGTCGGATATACAGAAGGTGCTTCGGCCGAAGCCGCCAGTCGATCCGAGAGAGAAGGTCCCGGCAGAAGTGTTGAAAGAATTCCGCGATCTATTCTCACCAGAAGAAGTAATGAAGCTGCCGCCACGTCGACCGGGTATGGACCATGAAGTCAATCTGCAGCCTGACAAGAACGGCAACAAGCCACCCCTTCCATGGGGCCCACTATACAACATGTCACGAGAAGAGCCGTTGGCCTTGCGAAAGACCCTGAAGGACCTGTTGGACAGAGGATTCATCCGAGCGAGTAGCTCAGCGACTGCCACACCGGTGCTGTTTGTGCGGAAGCCGAATGGAGGGCTGTGATTTTGTTGCAGCTATCGAGCGCTGAATGCAATCGCCAAGCGCGACCGATATCCACTGCCCCTCATCGCGGAGACCCTGCAGAATCTGGCCAAGGCCAAGTGGTTTACCAAATTGGACGTAGTAGCCGCTTTCCATAGGATCCGTATGGCTCCGAGACTTGAGTGGAAGATCGCATTTCGCACGAGGTTTGGGCTGTACGAGTGGCTCGTGTGCCCTTTCGGCCTGAGCGGCGCCCCGGCATCGTTCCAACGGTACATGAACGTACTGAGCTGCAACTACCGCAACCTACTTCTCCGGAAGCAAAATCGTCTTCACTGCAAGTCAGAAAGTAACTTACGCCTAGTGGCATCGCTGCGTCCCTCCAGGCAGCGGCGGAAAGGTCTAGGAGCGACACCCCGAGTTTCCTGCCCCCAACTTGTTCCTCTGTATCGCGTCTCTGCAACGGTTGGTAGTCTAGTCGTGCCAACCCTCCGCCAACGAGCTGATACGGCGCCGCACTCCGGCCGGCACGCACCTGAGTGCTATCGCTATCGCCTCGAGCTCGGCCGTGTAGAATTTCTCTTGCCGCCTCCCTATTGTAACGGAACATCTGGCTTCACATTCGTCGACGCCGTTCATTGCCGTGTTCCGAACGCAACCTCCCACGCCGACAAGGCCTCTTCTCTGCGACGAAGACGTGGCGATCAATATCCTCCATTCTGACCACCGCCTCCATGGCCTTTTCAGATTCTAGGCCATGCAATACGCGCATTCGGCTTTCACATGGCGCCAAAGGTGTACTGTTTAACCACCTCCAATTGATCGGTTACCAGGCCACCTTGCGTCTGCTCTTTTGCATGGGCGACACAAATCGCCGTTTCGCTCTGAAGAGGGCACACGGATCTACAGCCGAGGGCAGGGCGGAACAGGCCGAGGAGCTGCTGGTCACTTTCTTTCTGCCGCTGCCAACCAGTATCGGAATCGATGCTGAAGGGGAATGTCCAAGGCGGGTAGCAGTGCCCATGCCGGATCTGTTGAGTGCATAATCCTACAAATATATGACCGCATTCCAACAATATCCGATAAAGAGATCGCGGCGTCACGTTCTTGTGGGTGCCTACAAAGGACGAGTGCTTTGCACTGAGTCCGATAGCCAACCGGCTGCACAGAGAGCCACCGATCATGGACAGATTGCGGAAACAGCGACATATGTCTATAACCGTAAATCACCTAACGCAGGGGATCCTAGAGGGGATTCCCTCCGGGCATAATACAAAATTTTGCTATTTTAACAATAGTAATCGACGTCGTGATGTATATGACGTACTGGTCAGCTTTTGTCATCTGGCAAGCAATCCCTCCCTGCTGTATGCAAAGTCAGTGTGCGTCGCACTATTGTCGCAAATATTGAATCACCATCTGGGCTCATGGCAGCCAGTGTTGCAAGACAACTAGTTAGCCGCGAGATGTTTGAGTGCTGAAGTTAGATATCGGCAGCCATATCCAGCCTCAGATGCGTGACGAATAGCAGACGCGGGGAAGCGGCCGTAAGTCGTCAACGATCATCGCCCTCGAATTGGCCGCGGCATCACCACATCAGCCATCCACCACCCACCAATGAAATCACCCTTATCGGTGCTTTCTGGGAACTAATGCAAGCGAGTGATTGGTTGTTAAAGGCCATTCATTGTCGTCCATATCTAGACGACCTCAAGCTTGCGCCTTGTCGTCTTGCAAAGTTCTGCCACGGGTATTTCATTGCCAGCTGCCCGAATTCCAGCCAGATTCTACCTTTCGACAAATGTTCCACGAAGACCTAACCTCCCAATGCAACTCAGCCAGAAAAGGCTATCGAACGCCTCAGTCGATTCTTGCGCTATTTCGACCTGTGGCACAGCTCTCATTACTTACGCTGCACGCCGGTCGACAACCCGCCATAAAGCCCAAACGTGCTTTTACATTCGATTTACGCCTACGATATATATTTGAATGAAGGAAATCGGCTTACTTACAACGTAGGCGCAAACCTAGTAGTCTTATCTTTCCTCTATGCGTGGCACCATGAGCGACAGTATGGGCGACTCTACCACCGGTGACGGCATCTTGTGCTCGATATCAGACCAAGAGGGGATAAATATCATTGGTAAAGATATCGATGGCGGTATAGTGGTGGAAATCTTATCATCCGGCCGCATCTACCGCAGCATGAAGGTTATGCGTTATTTCACTGGGACGAATCAGGCAGAGAAATTGTCTTTTCTCCGACGCATTCGGCACCAGAGCTTCGTTAATGTCTACGCCATCCTCCCCCTCGGAGAAGTAGACGAGGCAATCGTCTATTTTGATATTATGCCCATAAAGGTTATTGACGTGTGTGCGCAAGCGTACGCCGAACTCAGCGAGCTAAACGTCGCAGCAATCCTGGGTCAGGTAGACTTCAGCATTCTAGCTGGCAAGGGACTTCGTTGACGGCCACAGGTGTTGCAAGGCGTAGTATTTCTCGAAAACAATGGGCTTCGGCATACAAGGTTCGACAAGTTCCAAGTGCTAGCCGACCTGGCTGGCAACATCAAGATTCGTACGTCCCGCGATGATGCAGCGTAGGCTTTTCTAACGTGCAACTAGGTGGCCAAGAATGGTGCAGTGTCGGTACCATCTATCCCGTCCTGAACGGCCTGATGTCTTTCACCTGCCACGTAATGTTTCCTTGGCGCTTCAATCATCAAGTGGAAAGCACCAGAAAATGGGGGAACCAGTCGCAGGTTATGAATTTCTTGAGTGAGCTGACTGCCGCTGCATCAACGAAGAACCTTGTCACGGTAACTGCACCCAATGCCCTCAAATGCATACATTCATTTTGACGGTATACAGCACCCGTTGTTACAGCTTCCTTGGAAAAAGGATCATGTGAAAGACTTGATTGTGGTTGCGGTGTGGAAAGCAAACATGGCCGCAGGTAGACTTTCGCGATCAGTGCAATCTGATGATGATGTTTCTTTTCCGCCCATGACGGAAGTCGGAGGCACTACATAAGAGTCGCTAAGCCTATTCTAGAATTGCCCAAAGCTTGGTTCCGAGCTAAAGGAAGCTGTCATCTGATGCCTGAATTCCTCTTATATCCTTCTGTCGGTGGACCGGGTAGCCCTGTTAGGAGGGACCCGGAGAAGGGATTCCTGGCCTATATAGCAGGAACGCATGAGGACTTCCTGAGTAAGGAAGGCAACCCCTTTTATGCGTGGGCACAGCCACGTATGCGTGGGTAGAGCCCATTACTCAGGAGGTCCCCAGAAGTCCGTAAGACCTCCTGTATAAATAGCCCCTTCAGACTGCCCCTTTAGACATAGAACATGCATCTTGAACCTTCGTGTGTGACCCCCTTCTTATTCCGATGTGTATTGGCATAACGTTCCACCAACAGATCCGATGGGAGTCTGACCCGCATCGCAAGGGCCATCTAATCGCGCAAGAAACCATTCAATCCTGTGGGAGAACATAAACTTTTTTGGTTCTTTTACCGCTTTCTTCCTACCTCCTCACCTCTAACCCCGGCTACCCTGCCGTCTCTTACCACCACGGGATCAAAGGTCTGCCTTCGTGGGTGCTCTAGACTTCTTCGGCCGACTTTTCCGTCCATAAGCATTCGAAACCATTATTAGATGTAACGACTAGATGTCATGATCGACTTCTTGCTCCCGGACCCCGGCGACAGACCGTTTGCCTCTTTCTCTTGCTTCCTCCTAGCACTCGTCCTCCCACCATCTCCGTTTACCATGCCACGAGAACAGGCAGCCACGGTCTCACCTGAAGCGCTTCGTCGCACCTCGGAGGGCCACCAGTACGCCGTCCCGATCTTCCAAGGATACATCAGCGACGACCATGAGGACGATCACCCAGTCTATATTAAGCGGTACGCTCTAACCCCCCGGCACCGTTTTGGCTCCGTCTGACACTCTCTGTAGAAACTCTGTCCTACATTTGGCGTTATTCGTCCCTTGGGAAAACTTCATTTCTGAGAGCCTAGGTGATATAACCGACATATGGACGACTCATCGGGCGGGCCTTTGTCCCCGTATCCGTTTCTACGTCTCTAACATTTGTCTTTTGAGAAAGTCTTGTCGAAGACGCGCGTAAGGACGCGAAGCTCTGGGCCAGTCGATCGGAGGGCGACGAGTCGACGACACAATTGACGTTGAGTACCCACTTGACGATGGCCGATACGAAGAAGAGTCTCCAGCACTGGCTCATCGTCAGGCCTACAGAGCTCTACTCCAGATTTTGCGAAATGCCGTGCAGGACACGGACGCCACAAAAGACTCCACCGTCCTTGGAGGTTTAATACACGATCTGTGCGAAGAGAACCTGACTGAGGAAGAGCAACCTTTTGTCCAACGTCAAGAGGGTCTGTACCGGAATATAGCCCATGATCAAGGTGACGGCTTGTGCCAATTCCCAATATCTCGAGACGATGTCCAAGCAGCGACCAAGGCCCAACAACTATTGCATCTTCGGATGCTAGACGACATTGAGAGTGGTTCTCAGGGGACCATGCTTTCCGCGGATGGCGCCGACATCGACGATACCCTAGCTCGCTACGGCGATACGGAACCCACCATTGCGCCGCCGGGAAGTGACCTCAATCAACAAGGGCCTCGAATGCTTGTCGACGTCAGTCCGATGGGCCGGTGGCTAGCTTCGCGGAGATGGGACACGCCACTGCGGCCACCTTCACTCTGAACTATCTACAGGCCATGGCCCTTCAACTTGTTTGCGCATTTCTGGACAGGTATACCGCTAATCAGGACTCAGCTGGTCAACATCTCCAGTATACCGGCGGGCCAGGCGGCACGGGAAAGTCGAGGATCATCGATGCCCTGAAGGACGTGTTCGCGGCGAGAAATCAGCCACACCTTCTGCAGATAACCGGCACATCAGGCAGTTCGGCGGCCCAGATTGGCGGCACGACCATCCACTCAGCGTGTGGGTTGGATTCCCATCGCGATCCAAACAAACCGCCTCCCCCTTTCAGGCCTTTCTCGGAGGCGAAGAAGTGGATATGGAAACAGAAGCTGGTACTCGTGATTGACGAGGTCAGCATGCTGGGAGGAGCCACTCTGCACAACGTCAGTCGTCACCTGCAGGTACTCCGTGACTGTCCGGACGAGCCGTTTGGTGGGATGCCTGTCGTTCTACTGATGGGAGACTTCTACCAGTTCGCCCCCGTGCGGGAAACAAGCCTACTGATCATCAGACCGCCGGACCGAACAGAGACCCCCCTGCGACAAGCGAGAATCTCTCACCACAGCGGCTGCAGATTGTGGCATCTGTTCAAAACCGTGGTGCTCCTCGAAGACCAAGTCCGCGCACGCAACGATCCCCAGCTCCGCGCACTCCTAGATCGAGTTCGTAACGGGCGCCAGACCCAGCAAGACCTCGACTTGCTCAACGCCAACATCGTAGGACGCTCCCAAATCACCTTCCACGATGGTTTGCGTGCTATAACGCCACTGAACCGCACCCGGTGGGCCCTCAACATGGAAGCTGTCGTGGGTTGGGCGCGCTTCAACAAGCAGCATATCCGTATCTTTGTCTCGACTCACACCTGGCGCAACGGCTCGCTTTCTCCAAACATCGTAGCGCGAACCATGGGAAAAGGTGACGACTCCGCCTGCAAGGTCCCCGGCGTCTTCTTCTATGCCCAGGGCATGCCTGTGGTTGTGAACAAGAACATCTACACTGGCTTGAAAGTTGTGAATGGGGCCGACTTTACTGCCGTTGACGTAATACTCGATCCCAATCACCCAGGATACTGCTTGGCAGATGACGTGACCATCCACTTCGGGCCGCCGCTCGGCATTCTTCTGCAGTCCGAGGAGACGAAGGCTTTGGCGATACCGTCCCTCCCGGTGGGGACGGTGCTCATCCGACCCATGTCACATACGCTCGATTCGACTAACTCTCACTTCAGATTCTTGTCCGCAAGATGCACGCGACGTGGATTGCCCGTTGTACCAGCGTTCGTTCTCACTGATTACAAAGCCCAGGGTAAAACGTTCGTGGAAGTACTGTTGGAGCTGCGTGGAAATTGTGTGACCAATGGTGAACCCTCCAAGTGCGATTTTACGAGCCTCTATGTGCAACTGTCCAGGTGCACCTCGCTTGGGGCATCAAGCTTCTTGGTCCCGTGAGGTACCATGATTTCATTGGCAATGGGCTGGATCAGGCCATACTTGATGGAATGCAGAGACTCAAGAACTTGGCCGCGGAAACGAGACGGTTATACGAGGACCAAGGTTTCGAAAAGTAGTGGCAGTATACTAGGTAGCCATCCTGATTGTTTGACCTTTCGTATGTCGAGCCACGATCGGCCAGCTTCTACTCGATCTGCGGTGCTGTCGACCAATCAAGCCTATCCCTTCACCGACCAAGCATGGCTGCTGACATGTCCATCATGTGCGACTCCATCCCCTCTGCTTTACCCTGCTCCATTGCGACCATCATTTGCCTCATCGCCGTCCCACTTGTCCCGCCCGGAGCTCGACCATACACGGACTCAGCAAACATCCGAAGCTGCATCGGGAATCGGGAATCCCCATATTGCTCGATGATATCGCTCTTTTCCACCGCGCTTCGTAGGTCGTGCCATTGCGATGGGGTCATACCGAGTGTCTCACACTCTTTCTTCTTCATTGCATCCCACCATGGCGGCAGTAAACCGGGACAACGCTCGACGCGCTCCAGGAAGCGCTTGAAGCCACGCAGCCCGTTGCCGGCACCACCATATATGCTATCCGCGTCTGCTTCGCCTTCAATGTTGTACATGTCCTCAGCGCGCAGTCGGTAAGCGTCGATCAGCAACCCGTAGACATCTCTTTCCGATCGATCATGGAGCCAAGTGCGATTTTCAAGACGCGTGAAGGGCCGGGCGACGCCCTGTTCCAACCCCTTCGGAGGCGACAAATTTGCCGTTGTAGGCCCATCTTGAAACGATGTCGTGGCATCGGCCTGTTTGCCACAAACCTTCTTATGGACCTTCCAGTCTGTCTTCTGGCAATCCCTGGAGCAGTACGGCGTGGTGGAACATTTCGCGCACCTCTTGAGGGCGACTTCAGGCGGCGACTTCTTGCAGCTATTGCACTCAAGGGCCATGGTGACCTAATTCCCATGACCAAATCGTGAAGATTGCGTTCTGAAAAAATGTCGAATCAATTTGAAGCTCATTTATGCCGCAGGGAGAAGATGAGGGGTAGCTTAGGCTTAAACGGATAGGTGCTGTAATGGGTCCAAGCAGCCGCACTCCCACCTCTCTTCTCCAACAGAACTTGTCTAAGAACCAACCCGAATTCTCGCGCTCGGTTATGCCCAACTCTCGTCCCGTTCCTCAAGGCATTGGCGGACCCTGAAAGGGGCCGGTCTCCTGTCTCCTGTGCCTTTCGTGCCTTGAGGAACGAAAGGCTCCTTCTTCCGCCCCCTCCGTAAGCTCGGACCACTTAGCGCCCCGTGCATTTTCCTGCCACTGCACCGCCACTGATGCCCGAGTCGTCAAGGCACAACGCCTTCTTCCCTCCCCGCACCGCAAAAAGCGCTGACCGCCCCGGCCCCACTACCCGGCCGACTGACCCTTCCGACTGACCCCCCCTCCGCCAGCTCCAGAGACCTATCGACAGCGCCTGGGAGGCAGCTCTTTCAACACCCCAAAGTCCTTTCCTTTCCTTCTTGCTGACGAACCTGACTGGGACTGAATTCTTCTTGTCTTTCTTCTTGAACAGAACCGGTTTTTCCTCCTCCGGGCACTCGATCTTAGTCATCCTCGATCGCAATGCCGCGAGAACAGACGGCCAGGGTTTCCCCCGAAGAGGTTCGCCGCACCCTGAAGGATCTTCAGTCGCAGCGCCGGCCACAGCCTGTCAGAGTTCCCAACGACGAGATTCTTCGTGTGTTACAGGATATGGACCGCCAGCGCGCTGAAGACCGAACCCGCCGCCGTGAGGCCCAATACCGATATACCGCACACACGCAGCCGCCAACCACTCCATCACCGAAACGACCTGGGCAAGAGCAAGCGCCTCCCACTCCACCGCCGACGGAGCCAAAGCGCTCCCCCAAAAGACCCCGGCCGATGCGAGAAACCGTTCAACTTCAACGAGACTCTGTCGAATCCATACTGCATCACTATAACGCCACTTTCCGCGTCAAGGAGCAGGCATCATCAACAAGATCCTGGTGCAACGATGTCCCCGTTGCCCTCCAGGTAGAGGCTGCTAAATCTTTCTACCAAGCGTTTACCGAAGAACGGACGTTGCCGATTTCCCACTGCGTCTTCTGCTATAGGAAGACACCGCCTTGCGAACTCGCCACCATGCAGTGGAGGGGTTTCTTGTCGCCCTCCATGCTGCGGGCGACCAGGACTATCCAAGAGTGTAGCGCGTGCCTTCCGTCACCAGAGGGCGCCAGAGTTGACGTGTGCCGTGAGTGTCGCGTCAGCTTCGACAGTGGACGGCTGCCTAAAGCCTGCTCGGTCAACAACATGGCCATCGGTTGCGAACATCGGTACCCCGACGAGCTTGATGACCTCTCTCCGGTTGAAGAGAGACTCATTGCCCTGCACGCACCTTTTGGCTATATCACCAAGTTCACGGTCGACAACAAGACCCGTTCGGGAATCAGCTACCGCAAGCACGTGAAAGGGCATATCGTCGTCTTTCCGAACAAGGTGGACGATCTTGTGGCCACGGTTCTTCCCTATCCTCTACTGCAGGCCATTGAAAACATTCACATCTCTTGGGATGTCGGCGCAATGGAAAGGCGCCATGTATTTGGTTAAGGAGCACCCCCGCCTATTTTCGTTCTCCTGCGTGTATGCGAGTCGCTATGGGCAGCCCCGGAAACGGTGTGATACGAGACGCAAATCCAGAAGCCCAAGCCATTCTCCGTCCGGCGTATCTGGCTACCATCTAGAGGCTAGCTCTAGACCGCGCCGTCACGTCGCAATTCATCACCGAGCAGACTTTTGAGCTGGCAGCCCTCCACCCGCGGCACTGACCGTTGTCCACGACCGGCTCGCCGCCATGCCGCCGTAGGCTCCGCCTAGCAAGCCTCCGGGCCGAGAGATGTACGATGAGGTGACAATGTGCTCAAGTCAGAAGCGTCTACGGCTTTGTAAAGCGGTATCAATCTGACTGACGACGGATCAGTGGATGAAGTCGTTTCCCAGACGTGGTGGCCGGTCCGCCTCAACATACACAGCTCGCGTGTGTTTGCCAGGTACCGGTATCGCTTTGTCTACCTTTTTCGAATATTTGCCAACTTTTGTGCTCAAATCATCCTCCGAGAAGCGCCTGCGGCTTTGTGAAGCTGTATCAATCTGACTGATGACGGATCAGTGGATGATGTCGTTTTCCAGACGTGGCGGCCGGTCCGGCTCAATGTCCGGTGGCGCCCACCTGGTGGTCCAATGGCCTGCGTGCTCCTCTGCACCCATGCCAGTATCGACAGATACTTACCGGTACCCCATTAGGGCCAACAGGCGTAATGAAGAGGCGATCATTCAGTGCGAGATGGCACGTATAATGGAACTTGTAAAGGCAAATATTGCTCCCGCTGATCGGTTGGAAAGCTCTATAGCCCCGCCAGGCAGTCGTCGTAACGCCTCCCATGTCTCCGCTTGTATTGGAAACGCAGCTGGGCTCGCGCGAGGTGTCATCGTCGTTCACCGGTGAATACAACTGCCTAACGCTTGCTGGTTCGTGCGAGGCTGTCGTCCTGCGAGAGCTTTCAAGCTTAGATGGGGTCGTGCCCTCGGGTTGTCAGCCTGAGTATCGACACCGCTTTCGAGGTCGTCGTTATTGTCGTTGTCATTGCCTCATTCTCTGGGAAGCAATACTTTTGGCAGGGGGCGGCCAGGCAGGGGGACTCTGCTCGCAGGGGCTTGGCTGGCCGCGGTTGTGATTGTGCCGCCGGTATGAGCCTTTGAACATGTGCCTTTGGACATCTAGTAGCGGTTCTATCCTATGGCGGAATAATGGTGAACTCAAGTGAGTGGTTGGCGGATGATTGGTACTGTAGGACAAAATTACCAGCTGTCGCACAGGAGAAGTTCGGGGGAGAAGGTTGGGTACAGAAAACGCGGGGTGTCACTCCTAGACCCTTCCGCTCATCATGGGTGCCTGTGATTCCCGTTACCGTACCTGCGGCCGATTCTGGCTTCACAACAGTGCAGCAAGTCCTCGTCTTGGGCGATTGACAACACCCTAGCTTCTGGCTGCTTGGTAGTACTGAGCTGCAAGGGCTGCAACCCCTTCATGATAAGGAAAATCGTCTTTACTGCGGCCAGAGTGAGCTGGCGTCGAGTAGCATTGCTGTCCCCACCAGGCAGCAGCGGAAGGGTCTAGGAGCGACACCCCGAGTTTCCTCGCCCAACCCGTTCCCCCGCAACTCGTCTCTACAACAGTTGGTAAGGTAGTCATGCCAGCCCGCCGCCAACAACTTAACTTCACCATCACTCTACCGCGGGGTTGCAACAATTCTCTGCTCACAGACCAGCGTACCGGTATATCATGGAGACACATTTTGATGAAGATAGCGCATGGTATGGCCAGCATGTCTTCCTCCTGCCAACCCATCCGAGATTGGCCATGGACGAGCCGATCCGCTTGCTTGGCAGTCGCACCTCGTCAAGATCTCTAGCCGTGTTCGCGGCTGGATCGTGCTACTATTAATCCGCGCTGCGGCAGTCCCTGACGTCGCCGTGATCAGCAGGCAATTCGAAAGCCTCCTCCAACGGAAAACTGGACGAGTGCCTCGATAATTCGCGACTTGCCGGTCCCGCCGTCGCCGCCGACGCCGTGGAGAGCTCCTGCGAGGCCTATGCCTGTACAACTACGTATCGCTCGTCAGACTCAAACGCAACAGCAACGACGGGATCTGTATGGCTTGTGGGGAGGTGCCTTTCGATGATGGGCGGGGAGCCAGGAAGACGCTGGGTTCAGGTGCTCAGGCGGCTGGGAACTTCTTGATCGTTTGGAAACTTCC